TCTTCAAAAAAAAATCCGTCGCCCCCTCCCCCCCCCCCCCCCCCCCGCACCCAGTTCAGATCGAGTTGCCTGGTGTTGCCCTGCAGCCTGCTCTGTGGAATGGGGCTGGGCTCTGGAGAAGGAATTTTCATCAGAAAGAAAGGAAATTGTTCTTGTTCATTTTGGCGGCCTGCAATAAGGTCAGTCAGCCCTGCCAGGAGCACAGCTTCAGCAGTGGGCACATGTGGCCAGAAGAAATCACTGTGGGGGACCCTGTGGCTTGGCCCCTGCTTTCTGCTTCCTCCAGGCATCAGCCTGGTTGCCCTTCATCATGCTTTCTTGCCCACTGTACCCTGGAATCTCCTGTGCTACCTCTAACATCAGCTCACGCGACACATCAGGTGGAGTTAAACTGCGGACTGAATCCTGCTTGGTGCTGTAATGTCTTTGCAATGTAGCTGTCAGCTAAGGATGTGAAAAGTTCTCACCCTCCAGCTGATGTAGCTCTGTGACCCCTTTCCCCCAGTCTGGATAGAGCTGTACTGAGAGAATTTTGATTTTTGTCCTTTGAGGAGGTGGCATAATTGGGGCTGGATTAACCCATTAGCAGACCCTAGGCAAACAAATTTGTGGGCCCCTACTTTTTTTTTCCCACTCAATTATAATATGTAAAATAAGCACAACTTTGGGTCCCTTCTTCACTTAGGGTCCTAGGAACGTGCCTAGTTTGCCTATGCATTAATTCATCCCTGGACATAGTGAAAAGGGGCAGAGAACCTGCTTCTGCCCTATGTGCTGAATCTCTACTAGGGGTCCTGCTGCTGTATGATGTAGGCAGCAGCCCTATAATGTAGACAAAAATGTTTTTATCTTTAGAATGAAGGCATCCCTTGGAAAATGTCAGCTCCTGGCTTTCAGTTTGTGTGTGTGCGTGCGTGCTTGTGTGTGGTTTTGGGGGTATTTTTGACAACAGAAAAATAATAGAGTAAGTCCTCTGTTGCAGAGATCTTACAGCAGGTCAGAATGTTTTGATGCTATGAACTCCTGATTGAAATCTCTGGGTTTATCTTGTGAATCCCATATGGGTGTTTGCAGTGTTAACATTGCATAGCACCCTGCAGCACCCTTAAAAGGATGTCGTGACACCCTGGTTGAGAATCACAGGTGTAGAGGATCTGTCATCTGCATGGAGTTGTGCTGGAAACCGCATCACTGCTTTGGAGCAGGAGCATGGAGAGGGAGGATAGAAAGGAAGGAAAAGAAGATGCAAAACTTCCTGTCACTGGGAGAATAAGCCTGGTTATTTAAGCATCCTGCATTTAGAGAGGGAAGTCTGAATACTTGATGGCATTTGTTGCTTGGTGTATTTACAATCTTGACCACATCAGTTGGTCTTAAACATGATCCATTTCTTGACTTGACTGTCAGAGTGAGATGCTTCTTTCTTTTCAGGTCCATGCAGGAACATCCATACTAGAGCCATCTGTATTGGCTACATTCTCCAGCCCCATTGCTCTGGGCTTGATGGCCACTGGAAAGGCAGAGAAACCCGAGCAGCCAAGTGGCACTTCCGTCCACCCCCACTCTTTAGAGAAGATGCTCCCTACATCCAGCCCTCCTCAAGGGAAAACTGATGTGAAGATGCAGGGTGTTACCTCTGTGCCAACTGTTGTCTCCACTAATTATAGTTTTACCACAGTCCAACCCAGCCCCGCGACATCACCAAGTACTGCTGCTCCAAAACCAGGTGAGAATGTGATGGGGAGTATGTTCTGTTCTTCTCGATGCCCAGTAACATTGACAAGACATTGAAAGTCTGTAAAGATGACACTGTGGCACAGGTTCAGCAGAGCTGGGGGAAGGCTTCTTGCAGCATATATACCACTGGGGCATTGCAGCCTACTGTGGGGATTTTGTATTGAGAACAGCAAAGGCACGTGTCTACTCAGTCTGTTCTCCAAATACAGTTTGTGATGCTTGGAGCCAGAGTTTGAGACAGGTACCTATATTGAACCCATAGAGTTCGAGTCGTTTATGCCCTCAACCCTCGTGGCATTGTAGATCTGCACTCCCTTGAACTCTTTCACCCCTTTGGGAGGCCAAAATCAAATCACCAGTTCTAGATGGAGCATGGTTTTGGAGCACGGGTTGGCTCTTCTCCTGGGTGTGTTGTAAGCAAGCCTGGGTCCAGGCCCTGAGCTCTTTTATGCTTCCACATACAGTTCAGGGGTTAGGGGTGACCTCTTCAGTGTCATAACAGGAGTGAATCTACCACAAGACATGGAGGTACAGAACCCTCCTTTTAGCAGCTGTCCGTCAGCCCGAGCAGAAGTACCTTCCTTCACTTCGTAAAGCACTTGTCTAAAACAGGTGCAGTTATTCCCCCCCCTCCCCCGCTCCCCCCTGAAATGTCAAGGTACAGTACAGCAACAGAGAAGCAGCATGTGTGGCTGTGTGCCATGCATGCTCTTCAGCAGACTGGCGTGTAACTGTTCCCACTGGTATTTCTAAAAGCAATCACTTGAAAAATGTGCAAAATAACAAAAGCCCCGTGCATGGTTCCCTTGCAAGCAGAGCCTGAGCTTCCAGCTCCTTCTCTGAGACCGTGGATACACTGGGCGCAGTATAGCGAAAGCCACTGACTGCAATTCTCTGAAGTGCCCAAAGCTAAAGTTTCATAAATTTCATAGACATTAGGGCTGGAAGGGACCTCGGAAGATCATCAAGTCCAGCCCCCTGCCCCAGGGGCAGGAAGTCAGCTGGGGTCATAGGATCCCAGTAAGATAAACTCTGTAAATGCTTTGTAAGCGGGGTACTTTTTCCTTTAAAAATGGCCCAGTGAAAGGGAAACATGATACTGCTGGCAGAAAGCCAGTCAAATAGCTGTTCTACCAGTTTACCCGTATTTCTCATTTAAAAAAAAAAAACCCAAAAAACCCCCCAATTCCACCCCAACATTAGATATGCTTCCCTGGTAGTGCTACAATATACATAGTGAAATGCCTTATTAACGACCTGCATAGGGCTGAGCCAGTGTCTCCTGCATTGTTGCACAATATCAAGACTTGAAGTGTTCTTTTAAAAAAAAGGGACGGGGGAGTTGTCTGCTTGCCTCATTTTTTTTCCACATTAGGAAGTGATTTTGTTTAGTCTTGGGACTTTCCTTCTGGCCAGAGGATGGACAGAGTTCTGACAGGAAGAGGCTGAATTGTTTTTGTGCTAACTATTTAATCATACCCTTTCTTCCAGGTGTTTAGTGGCCACTAGAATAAAACATTCAGCCTCCCCTGCCATTATAAAAATAAAGCTCCTAGTGCACATCTTTTAAGACCCTGTTAAGCCTTATTTTTCCCAACCAAAGAACAGACGTTAGGTTCCTGTTCTAAACCAT